AATAATCATGTTTATTTAGGGAGCTTACATTATAATATAGATTACAAGAAACAAAAAGGATACTAAATAAACATAAAAACTCACTGAAGTAGATATGCTACTACCATAAAAGTAGCACCCCATGTGCGTGAGACTTAACATAGATATTCAAAGAAATATTTAATAATTGTCTAAATAGTAAGTTACATATGCGCACTTACAAAAATACATTAATTTTAATCTAGCATGTGACACAAATGTGAGTACATGATATTAACTGCAGTAAATTCAAGATATTTAATCAAATAAAAGGCAGATATCGAGCACAGTTTTTTATTAAGTCTTGCCCAAGTACTTTCGCTCCTAGAGCATCTTAGGGGCATTTCGTCAAAATTAGGCTATCCAACAATTTGGTGAATGTCATAAACATTGAAACATTAACTAATACATTTACACAACACGAGACAAAGGACAAACAGTTTAAATGATTATTATAAATTTGAAGAAGCTACATAGTGGATGACAGCAAGAAAGAGAATCAATTTTCACTTGGTTTTTACATGTGTTGAGTTTTTGTGGATGTTATAGTAGTAAAAAATTATAAATTTACAACTGACATGGTATACCAACATTTAACATCAAGTGATAATGAAGAGGGCATTATTTCTGATAGTGACGAATATTCTAGAAGCACTTTTTAAAAAAATATTATTTGCGATTCTGAAGATGAAGGTATAGCAAATTCTGCTCATTCAAGTACGTCTGCTGAAGAAGAAAGTACTTCAAATTCTTCTAAGAGTGTGACTATTACTTGCAAGGGTAGGAGCTTAACAGAAAAATATGGTAGTAGAAAAGAAAAGAAAAACAACTATTCTTTGTTTCAAGTTAAGAAAATAACATTACGCTTATGGAGATCAGTGTTGCCAAAACTCTCAGACACTCTCTTTTGCACGGATGTCCAAGATATTCCCTTTGCTTAATTTTTGAATTTTCATTTTCAATTAACATTTAACTGTAAAGTCAGAATAACTACTAAATAAAAGCCTTATTATCATTATGTAGTCAGAGAACGACATAAAATAGCTGACATACGCACATCGTATTATTTTAAGTTGCAATTAGTAATTAGATATACGCATTCCAAGCGGTCAATATTTTCTACTGATTTCTATGATTCATGGCATATCGTATTCTCACCGAAAAACAAATAAACTGTCGTTACTATAATTAAAATAAGATAAAATAAAATTATTTTTGTAAATACTATTTATCTAATTAAAATCATTTTCCCTACTTTTCATCTCTTGTTTCGAATGGGCACTTTTGGTCAATTACGTTAAAAAACATTAATTTAATTCATGTTTGTGGAAACGAAAATACAAATTATACAACCCTAAATTGTGCTTGTGTGTGTCGTGGCAACGCCGCGTTGCTATCGTCCATAAGAAATACATGGCCCTATCTCCGCAATGTTATTTTCTAAACGTGGAACGTAGTATAGTAAAACTAAAAGGTTACAAAAATCTTCTACAAAACTAAATCAGTCAGAAGTGACTGTGGAGGATTGAGAAGAAGAATATGATTTACCTAAAATTAAAATTAGAACAGATATTTTTCCGTCACTTGGTAAAAGAAAACTACATGAGTCTTTGACAGAAAAAGAGTCAAAAAATTTAATCTCATATGTACCTATATATGGAACTTCATCTTTTGCATCGAATTATAATGAGCCTAGTTTGGGAGGTTACTTATACATACGATGTATATGGCATATTTTTTTTATCTACATTTAAGGTGAGCTTATTAAACTGAAACCATTTCTGAATCGTGGCAGTCTGTTTCGGCTTTTTGTTTTAAATTACCCCACGTATTTGCATTATATAAAATAGCTGTGTCAACTGCACAACTTATTATCTTACCTGTAATATTCAGTCTGAATAGATCATTGATGTAGATATTGAAGAGAATTTTTTCTAAGACTATTCCCTGCGAGGCTCCATAGGATATAATTCTTCTCTTACTAATTTCTCCATCTATATAAGTATGTTGCCTGTTTAAAAGACAACTTTCTATGATATTATATGCAAGTTCTCTAATACTACATTTTTTAAGTTAAGTTAGCAATATTTTATGTGAAACACTGTCAAATGCCTTAGATAAATCTACAAATATACAAGGAGCTGGTCTTGCATTATCAAGAGCTTTGAAAATGTTAGCTGTTAGAGCACAGATTGCATCTTCATTGGATTTTCATTCTTGAAATCCATACTGACGTTCAGATAGTACATTGTATGTTTTTAAAAAATTTTGTGATTTATATAGTAGTTTAATAGTTCCAGTTTTTAAAATATCGGGAAAAATGCCTAAATTAAGACATGTATTTATTATGTAGGTTAGGGTTTTGAAATGTGTTTTGTTATTTGTTAATTTGTTTTGTTATTTTGTAGTTTGTTATTTGTTAAGTTTCAGATCTAATATTATCAAGTCCTGGTGACTTTTTATTTTTTAAAGATTTTATTATTCCGTCAACCTCATTTTCAGTCGTTGGAAATAGGTACATAGTATTATTCATTTTCAATATATTTTCTCGAAATTCAGTTGGCTCAGGAATCATTTCTGCGACTACATTCTTCTTTATGTGCCGTCTACCGATCGGAGGTTGGATATCATCACTATCTTTACTCTATCTACTGCTCCTCTGAAGAGTTCTATACAACTGCATTTAAACCAGCCCCTTAAATTATTTGACCATGACACTCTCCTTCTTTCTATACTCCTTCCTCTTCTTATCTGTCCCTGTATTATGCAGCCTTAGCAGTTCATATCGCTGTCCCCTTATTACGTGTCCCAGATATTGTAACTTTCTTATTTTTATTGTGTTTATTATTTCGCATTCTTTGCCCATTTCTCGCAATACTTCCGTGTTAGTTTTCTTCTGTGTCCATGCTATTCTAAGCATCCTCCTGTAACACCACATTTCAAGGGACTGTAATTTATGTATGCGTTCTTGCTTCAATGTCCAGCTTTCAAGTCCATATTGCAGTATCGAAAAGACGTAGCATCTCAGTGCTCTTACTCTCAGTTCTAATCTAAGGTCTTTGTTGCAGAGAATTGTTTTCATTTTTACAAACGCATTTCTTCCTATTTTTATCCTGGCTTTTATTTCGGTTGTTTGATCATTATTGTCTGAAATCCAGTTTCTTTCTTCTTCTTCAAGTGCCATCTTCGTTTCAAAGGTTGGCGATCATCAGGGCTATACGTATTTTCGAAACTGCTGACCGAAACAGTTCGTAGTTGCTACAGCTATACCATTCCCGTAAATTCTTTAGCCAGGAGTTTCGTCTTCTTCCTATGGACCTTTTTCCTGCTATTTTCCCTTGCATAATTATTCGAAGCAGTTCATATCTTTCGCCTCTTGTAATGTGTCCCAAGTATTGCAGTTTTCGTTTTTTGATCGTAAATATGACTTCCTTTTCTTTATTCATTCTTCTCAAGACCTAGATATTTGTGACTCTCTCGGTCCATGGTATTCTCAGGATTCTACGATACATCCACAGTTCAAATGCCTCTAATTTTTTGGTATCAATATTTTTCAACGTCCATGACTCAATTCCGTAGAACAGCACAAAGTACAAAGTACGTAACATCTCATCAGGCAAAGTTTCATTTCAAGGCTCAAATCTCTTCCGCAGAACACTCTCTTCATTTTAGTGAATATGGATCTGGCTTTATTCTATTCTTATTTTGATTTCTGCTGACTCGTGTCATTCACTTATCAGATATTTGCAGAATCTATGCTATGTTCAGTAATAAAAGTGCCTAAATTTTGTATTTGCTAACTCGATCGATAATTTCATTGTGTAAATATAAATTTTGGACATTTTGTGTTGATTTCGATATTACATAAATTTAGTTTTCTTTATGTTCAAAGATAGTCCATATTCTTCGCTGTAGTCTGCTATCTTATTCAGCAATGTCTGTAGCTCTTCAAGTGTTTAATCTTGTTTAATCTAACACCATTTATTCTAATACCAACGGATTGCTCAGAGAGTGTTCTATTCATTACGTCTTCGGAATAGAGATTAAACAGGGTTGGTGACAGTATACACCCTTGTCTCACACCTCGCTTTATTTCAATTTCTTCAGTGGTATTATTCTCTACTCTCACTACTGCTTTCTGATTGTAGTACATATTTGCTATTAGTCGGATGTCTCGTTTATCTAAATTCTTTTCTGTCAGGAGTCTGATTAGGTGATCATGCCGCACTTTATCAAAGGCCTTGTTGTAATCTATGAAACACATGAATACATCTTTATTTATGTCAAGACATCTTTGAGACATAACGTTCAGTGCAAACAACTCTCTTGTTCCGAGTCCATTTCGGAATCCAAACTGGGTATTATTGATGTCCATTTCCAGTTTTCTGTGTACTCTAGAGTGTATAATTTTCAGGAATATTTTCAGTATATGGCTCATCAGACTGATTGTACGGTAATCACTACATTGTTTGGCATTTATCTTTTTTGGTATAATAACAAAGGTGGATAAAAGCCATTTTTGTGGTATTTTTCCTGATGTATAAATGCTATTGAAAAGTTCAACTAAAATGTGAATCGAGTCTTTTTCTATTAGTTTAAGGATTTCCGTTGGTATTTCATCTGGACCTGGGGCTTTACCATTTTTCATTCTTTTTAGTGTTTCCTAGTTTCCTAGGCAATTGTATTTATTAGCGACATTAACGCTAGTATATTAGGGTCCCAACAGAGTCCTTATTTGTACTTCTACAGTAGCTTTACTCCTTAATTTTGTCGATAGGTAATTCCATATATAAAAGTTTGAGCTTTTTGAATTCTTGTAATAGTATTCAAATAATAGATATATCAAAAGTGTATAGAGGGTAAACTTTTTCTTAAAATATATTTTATCGTATAATGTTAATGTTTAATAAATATCAGTGCTAATTTTTACATTAATAAAACAACACACTAGGTAACAACTTTTTCACAAAATCTGAATTTTATGGTGTTAGTGTCGTATTGTTGTCTTCACACAAGTGCGCTGTCAGTATAAGGTATAGCAACAGTTGCGGTTAACAACGGTTGAGTTTGGGTTTTATTTTCATTCATTATAAAAACTCGGATAACACACATTTCTCCAATTTTAGAAGGAACTTGACCTTCATTGATAATTTCTTGGATTCCAACTCTTACTTTATATGAAGATACAGGCAACAAAAGCGGAATCTAAAATGCAAATAATTTATCATTATAAATATGTATTATGTTTTAGGAAAGTAAAATTGATTAGCAGTTCCAAACAAATACGTCAATATCCCACATAAATACAGTTAGTTGTACACTTTAAAAATATTTTTCATTGTATGTATAACCTACTTTAAAAATAGAAAATTACACAAAAAATTACATTTAAGTTTTTCTACTTGTTCAGTAGCGTTTCTCACTAATGTTTCTGTTTCTAATCCATTCTTTTTCGATTTTAAGTTTGTCTATCCCGAAACTCGAGTAACGCCCTGTGTATTTGAAATGACTCATGTTCTATTGGATGATCGTCAATTACTAGTTTTGTTCTCATGGGTTATTTATTTTCAAATGCCATAATTTTCGTCTTTTTAGCGTTATTTTCATATTGATTTTTTACACACCTTTGCAGCAAGCTATCTTATAATGCTGCCAGCTCTGATCAGGTGTATTAAGTATCCTGTTTTTTTCATTATTTCAAATAGTTTATTTCTTGACTCGGTCGAATGCTTTTCCAAAATTTATAAATGGAATATGCGTTTCTAGATTAAATTATCTTCGCTTTTCGATAATTTATTTTAAAATGAAAACTATGCTGTTAGTAGAATTGTCCTTTTGAAAACCGTGTTATTCTTCTCCTGCAATGGCTTCTGCACTTTTTTTTAATCCGCTCTTAATTATTTTGGAGTATATTTCACAGATTATCTTCTATAGTTTTCACAATTTTTTTTGTCTTTTTTTTTAAGAGAGGGTTAAAGGCGAGTTTGCGATGCCTATACAATAACTGGAACAAATCGACTAAGAGATGGAAAACCAGGCAGGTTGAAAGGGCCCGAGATGGCATTCCCCATCTGACTTACATAGCTCTAGATTAATTTACCTGTAACACAGGTGGTACAATTTTTTTCCAAGGCTTTTCAGACAACGTTAACTGATTTATATGGTTTATGATGCGCTGAATCCAAAAATCAACTCCGCTTTACCGTAGCGCATCACCTTTTTTTCCCAAAACGCGCATAACTGTTTTCCCAGTGGTATTACTCGAAAGAGATATGAAGTAGTGTTTATAAAAATATCTGAAGTTATGTTTATTATTTTGAAGATTTATTTTTGAACTTAAATGAGCTTGTGAAATTACCTAAAATCGCTTCTTAATTGTCATGCTTATCTTGGTACATTTTCTATATTTCTATATATTTCCTCTATATTTTGTTTCTATGATATTTTGTTTCCATTTCCTTGATATCTTGATGAAAATGTTCTCTTATTCTTCAATTAAGGCTCCCACATTCTTAAATTTCAGTGCAGGTAGGAGTGAAAAAAATGTAGATTTGGACTCATAGAAAACCCAAGTTTTGAAAATACTTAAACATTCTTTTGAGTATACTTTTGTAATTAGGATGTTATTGTTGCCCAAAACCTTCTCCACAACATCCTTAAATGGGAACCATTCTTCTTTGTGCAGATCCGTCATGGTATTGGCAAACTCTTGATCCCCTAGAAATCTTCTGATATATGGCAAAACAGATATACCTTTCTTCAATTTCGCCCTCGAAAGACGAGCAAACTTATTAACCAAGTATTTGAAACATTCTCCGTCTTTTGGGAGATATTTCACAAACTATTTCATAAGGCCTAGCTTCATATAAAGGGGAGGAAGGAGAATTTTTTTGGGGAAACCAAGTTTTCTTGCAGAACATTGTTTTTGTCCTTGACTCCCAACTCCATTGGCCAGTGAGTGTTTCAGTCTCGACTGTCCCATAGACTAAAAAACAAGAACATTTGGTGTATCCAGCTTGTTGCCCAAGTAGTATACACAAGATCTTCAAATAACCGCAAATTTGCCTTCAATTTCTTATTTTCTAGAGTCTATATCTTTAGAGTTTTCTAAAACTCATTCCCAAGTTCTCATAGGTCGCTTTCACGAACAAAAAATTCGACAGGAATAGAAACATAGAAACAACCGTTATTAAGTAAATCTGATTTAAAGCTGCGTTTCGATGAGTCGATATAGAGATGGCATTGAGTGGATTCATAATGAATTTTGAATTAAACCATGTCACTACAATAAACTAGATTTCCTTCTTGGGTAAAGTAAGACACAAAATTCTTTTGAGAACTTAAGACACAAAGAATTTTGAATTTTTGAAGCGTATCAAGAAAAAGACACTCCAAGTAGTAATCAATTTTTAATCTTGTCTGAATCCAAGCAACTCAGTAGCACGTTGGGGAAAAATCTGATCTCTCACCAAATCATTTATTGTAAGAACAATTTTAGTCTAGAGTTGTCTGCAAAGTCAGAACTTGAGTCCTGATTGTCTTAAGTTGTACTTTATCTGGTGTCTCTCATATCTCTTCTGTCTGGGTTTGGCACAGGTGTTTCTACTTTATCAGGAAGAGGACGAACCCTGAGGACAGGTTATGAAATGGAATATTTTGATTTTGAATTGAACCCTTTGACATCATTCGAGCAGAAGTAGCAGTCATCACTATGATTCCCTGCTCTCGTCATACCATAGATACCCCCAAGCGTAAACTTTTCATTGTACCCTTAAACTAGTTTCGAAAAACCTCCACACAAACTACTTTATTAGAAGTCCAAACTTTGTTTTGATCACCAAGCTCTACACTTTCTGCACAAAGTCTGTTATATTGAGTTGTTGCTTCAATACTGTTTATTCGCCACAGATAAATCAAAAAGTGAATTTCTGCAGTTTCGCGTTACGATACGAAATTATGATGTAAATAAAATTATAATAATATTAACTTGGTAAATCACATTATACAAACTAGAACAAATTGTTGAAAAGAAACCGAGTAATATTATGGCCGAATAATTTACACTTTGAAGGTTTACTACTTGATCGGGAGCATCTTAAACTTTTTTGATATAACTTATCCAAATATTCCTTCTATCTTAATAGTGTTCTGATATAAGGATAGACTATAGACATTAAAATTGACAATATAGTTTATTCATGTGATGACGAAATATTCATTTATGCATTTTAATTACTCAATACGTAGCTGAGTTTTTCCGAAGACAGCCCATGCTAATTTCGTTCATGTTTTCATTTCTACTGTTTGGTTGTCTATATGCAGTTTTATTATATGTTCTAAATATACATATGTACTATATTAACTTCTTCGAGGATTGGCATTACCTTTCAAGATGAATATTCACCTCTTTACATCCGATGAACTTTTTATTTGGTCCTAGTATGCTCAAAGCTTTTATTCTGCAAAGCTGCTCTTCCGAGTTCTGTGGAAGCTGCTTTACCGAGCTGAAGGTTCAGTACACACCCATTGCTAGCAGGTGTTCGGTAAGATTGGGAGCTGTAAATAAAATAATTAAACAAAAAAGAGATATTGAGTTAGAAGTTTACCTGAAGGGGAAACGTGGGAGAAAAAGAAGAAATCTGGGAGAAAAAGGAGAAATGTGGGAGACAGATCTGCAGGAATTAATCCAATACAATGCGCAGACGCTTTTGGACGAAGAAAGAAAAATAAACATGTAATGGAGATTACAATGAACAAAAATTAATATTTATGCAAAAAATATGATTATTCGACAGAACATTAGAGAAACGTCTTGTTTTCAGATGAGAAACTTTTTGGTAAAAAGTTGATGCGGAGAGATGTACACGTAAATGTTAACTTCAATTCACATGGACCAAACAATGAAACATCCAGTCAGAAAATTTTTTTGGTGTTGTTTTTCATAAGGGAAGAGGAACAATTATACCCATCGAAGGCATGATATGCAGTGAAAAATATAACGAGATACTAGAAGCGTGCTTGTGTAGAGAACTTGAACAAGTTATTCTGAAATTTTTCAGAGACTAAAAGATTATCCTTCTAGACTGACCTGAAAACTCACCTGACATTAATCCCATTGAGAATTTGTAGACTATTTATAAGGTCAGATTATCGAAAATACACTATAGAAAAAGTGTCATGATAACACAATCAAGGAAAATTGTAAAACATGAATCAATTCTATTTCAACATGAGTTGAACCTTTAATAAAAGCCATAGGATGACATCTCTTCTATTGAATATAACTGAAAGATGTATAAACTAATACTATTTATATATTTTTCTTTCAACAAACAATATTTAATGTAAATCCGTATGTGAACAATTTAATTCACACAATCCCAAAGTTAACCTCCTGATGTCAAAGATTTTCCCTCAATTATTGCCTGAGAAATTTAATTCCATTTTTACGTTATTTTCAATTCGTCGTGTTAATGACTTCGCCCTAATTTTCAACAGTTACCAGTTATAATTGACAAAGTTCACATATTCGTATACTTGTGTGAATTAAACAAATAAATGTTTACGTTATCTTAATCAAAAGACTATAAAGTAACATGTTTGGTGATTCACAATGTGCAATATAAATCTGTGAAAGGTATAAAAAATATTTTTGGGAAATACTGCTTTTTATGAATTGTGTAATTGATAGAATATATTTTGAGCAATATTACTCATATTAATAAAAATTATTTAATATTATTTTTTAAATAATAGACTTAAACTTACCAGTATTCTGTTTGTTGAACAAATGTAATAGTCAGGCTTTGTATGAAGTAGCATACTAATACCACTTATAGGCTTATTGGATTCCAAATTTTCAAGAGTAAATATGACAGTAAATTTAGTTCCTATACCTCGAACCTAAAATGCATGTGTTTTTTTTTAGTTAGACTTAACCTTTTTGAATGGAAGAAATATTTTAAATACTAATTTACCTGGGCAGATAATTTTAGCTGTCCCGTAAAATTTGCTATTTCATTTTCGTTTGATTTATACTGTAAAAGTGACTTAGCTACGTCCAGTCTCAATTTCAATAGATCCTTTTGAAAGCTTTGATGAATCTCTAAAATAATTGTATTAAATTAAAACAACAAATTCATTCACTATATAAATTACATTAAAAGGATAAATTTGATTGTAAAAACTATATTTATTTGCGAAAAAACTCACCTTAACATACAATCGATTTTAATGGAAGCATAAAGGCGGCCAACACAAAGAGTGAAAAAGAAAGTCAACAAAGTGATCAATGACCTTAACAAAAGGTGGAAAACTGTTCCGAAGGGATGCAACAATTATACAGATGAAATAGAGAGATAAATAACAACCCACGAGTCTAGAAAAATTGGTTTCGTATTATGAAAAATGTTTAAGGAACACAGCGTTTTTCTCATATATACAGGATGGTCACAAAAGATTCATCAATCAGCCAATCGCGTCCACTGCTGGATATAGGCCTCCCTCAGTTCTTTCCAGTGTTCTCTACACTGGGCCGCTTGTAGCCAGTTTCCCGCTACACGTTTTATATCATCGGTCCATCTAGTCGGTGGTCGTCCTCGGCTTCTTTTATAGTTTCTGGGCCTCCATTCCATAATACGTCTTGTCCACCGTCCATCTTGTGCTCTGGCTAAGTGCCCTGCCCAGTTCCACTTAAGCGACGTGGTTCTTTCGATGACGTCTTGAACTCCTGATCTTTGCCTAATTTGTTGGTTTGTTATGTGGTCTCGAAGGCTCAGGTTCAGCATTGCACGTTCCATGGCTCGTTGTGTAACTCTGAGTTTATTCGCAGATTTTTTGCGTGAGTGTTAAAGTCTCTGCTCCATAAGTTTGTACAGGTAAAACACATTGGTTATAAACCTTTCGCTTGAGACACATGGGAATTGAACTTTTTAGAATATGGCTTAATTTGCCAAATGCTGCCCAAGTTAGGCCTATTCGCCTCTGTATTTCATAAGTCATCTGTCACAAAAGATTGGTCATAAATTATACCACGATTTTTAGGGATGAAAATAACTCGACTTGGCCTAACCTACCTATAAAAAATGTGCACCTAGAAAAAGTTACGAGGTTTTAAAAGTTACAAAATAAAACCGGTTTTTTTAATATTGCTTTAAAACGGCTTAAAACTTTTTTATGAAAATGTATGAGGCATCGTTTAATTTTTAATTTTCATTATAAAATTTATGCGCTATTTAATTATTAATTTATACACATAAAACAAATATAAACTTACAACTTCAATAATTTTAAAAATTAGAGTATAAAGACTCTGTTGGTAATGGAATTTTCTTCAATATCTACACTCTCAAAAATCCCTAATAGTACAAAGATGAATCCACTGAGTGTTGTAAAAATGAATGAAAAGTTTAAATTCCACGTCACATTCATTTTATAAATGAAGAAGTGCGAGATATAATTTAATTTCTGTATAGACACAAGAAAATTTTTGCCATCGCTCGCTAGATCGATCCAATGCATGGATTGTCATATGCAGACACAAGGCAACCAACCACAATTTTACAACTTTATTTCATCGATTAGGTGAAACCGGATCATTTCGCACTAAAAATCGGAGTGATCGACCAAAATAAATCATAACCTAATCAAGAAGATAAAATTTTGGTTTGAAGTAAAGTAAATGAATAGCCTGAAGTAAGTTCACATTAATTATCAGCAGTAACATGAGTAAGTCAGTCACCTATTAATAAAATTCTAATTAAATGAAAACTTTCACCCTTATCGCTTGAGCTGTTTCAAAATTTGCCAATGTATTTGAAAGGAACATAATTCTGATATATATATATATATATTTCATTAAGCATATTATGTTTACCGATGAAGCAACTTTTACCAGGCGAGGGTTTTTTAATTGGTGAGACAGCCATTACTAGGAAGAAGAAAACCCACATGCTACCTACTAAAGATTGCCAGCGTTCAGCAAGGCTTTAAATCGAATATTTAGTGTGGCATTATAATCAACCAAATACAAGGCCATATGTTCTTCCTCCAATTCCTCCTTTACTTGTAGTCCAAATCTTTCATTTACTTTATTTACTTTGTTTATTAGTTGCTGTAAACTGTTTAAACTGTCTGCAAAAATAACGGTGTCATCTGCATAGCGGATGTTGTTTAGGCGTTCTCCATTTAAAAGGATTCCATGTTGGCAATTTTGCAAGGCTTCACTAAATATTTCCTCTGAATATAGGTTGAATAATATAGGTGAAAGTATACATCCTTGTCTAACGCCTCGCAGAATCTGGATCGCTTCCGTCGGTTCATCTCCAAGATTTGTTCTTATTGTGGCTGATTGGTTCCAGTATAAATTTTGTATTATACGCAGGTCTTTATCATCTATTTGGGCTTTTGTTAGAACATCCATCATTTTTCGGTGTTGAACTGTGTCAAATGCTTTTTGGTAGTCCACAAAGCAGGTGTAGATATCGTAAGTTATATCTCTGCATCTTTGGAATAATACCTGTAGACTAAACAGTGCATCACTCGTACCTACGCCTTTCATGAATCAAAACTGTGAGTCTTGTATTCTCTCTTCCTATAGCTCGTATATTCTACGATGTATAATTTTAAGAAAAAGTTTTAGTTTATGGCTCATTAGACTTATTAGCCTATATTCTCTGCATTTTTTTAGATCTCTGCATAGATATTGAAGATTTTACATATTATTCTTAAAGACCCACCATCAAAAAGTTTGAGAAGTTCAGACTGCACTCCGTCTGGTCCTGGAGCTCTCCCTTCTTTTAGTGATATTACGGCTGCTTTTATTTCTGTCACTAGTATAGGTGGTCCTGTTTCCGTAGGTATAAAGGACTGGTTCTCCCTCTCATGAAAAAATAAATTTCGTACGGAATTTTTTCAGGTATTATCAATACTCTCTTTGTCCATGATTAGCTCTCCGTTGTCATTAACAAGTTTACTTACTCTTCTGTTTTTACATTTTCCTGTAATTTCTCTTACCTTTTTATGCACGTTGAAGCCGTCGTATTTACTTCATAGACTTTCGATTTCTCGGCATTTCTCTCCAGTTCTTTCTGTTTGACTTCTCTGATCTTGCTCTGTATATCTCGTTGTAATGTTTTATACATAGAGTTATTGTTCTTATTTTTCCTTCTTTCTTGCATCAACTGCAGAATATGTGTCGTCATCTATGTCTGATTCTTACCTTCTTCGTTCTTCATAAAATTGTCTTTAATGTCGTCTATCGTTTTATTAAGGGATTCTATCTTCTCTTCTGTGCTTTCCGTTGTATTATCGATTTCTTTGAATTCTGTATTTATTGTTTTGCTGACTATTTCTTTTACTTCACTACATTTCAAATTTTCTCATTTCATGGTTTTTTACAGTTTTCTCGCGTGTTTTCTTTAACTTGGTACTATACACATTGTACGAAGTTAAAGAAATATATAGTCTATTTGGTTTCTTATAATAACGTCTTCTCTGTTGTCTCTAGGTGTTTTCCACGTATAGAATCGTCTAGGTGTTAATTTGTAAAATGTTAAGCACGATTAAGTCATGTTCAGCTGCAAAGATACTCATTGTTTCTCCTCGTTGATTTTTCTCTACTAATCCATAAGGACCAATATGGTGCCCTTTTTTTCGTTACTTATTTTAGCATTAAAATCTCTGATTAACTTAAAAAAAAAACGTTTTCCTAGAAGTTGGTAGTAATAAACACTTAGTATATCTATTAAAAAGGACTTACCTAGAGCTGACTCCCGTTCTCGCATGCTGTGTTCTAAAAACAGCTTACTTCTCTTTGGTAATGGTAGTGGTTTACTCTGAAATTGTGGTACGTTTTCAGAACTGTTAGCAGTAAAATCAGCTGTTCTTTTCAAAATTCTAAATATAACGGTTCCAGCTAAAAATTGTTTATAAGAACGATAACATTTAAAATATCAATCTTAAATAATTGCTCGATGAGGAAAGTGAAAATTAAAAATTTAAAAACAACTAATAAATTTGAGTTAGTTCTTTGCAGTTAAAATATTCTCAAAATAAATTCATCAAGTCTGTTAAAAAAACGTATTTTGAATTAATCATCTATTATCACGATTGCGATAGTTCCTGATTTAACTATAAAATTTTAACTTGCATTTTCGCCTTTATTTGGGCCCAATACGCTTAAATATTTATAAAGTAAAAAAAAGAGGTTAGTCTTCGTAAGTGGGTATATTTATTTAAAAAACCCTTAAAAGGGCTACATCAAAAAAACGTTTTCGGACTAAACAGTCCATCATCAGGTTTAAAATTGCTAGGTTAAAATGCCTGAGCCACCAAAATACATGGGTAAAAACCCTTTAAATTACATATAGTTATAAAAGATTATACATCTTGTTGATAAAAAACTGTGATGTTCAGTATTAAATTAAATATGACTTCAGGTAACATACATTCTTGAAATTGAGTTCCAGAGCCGGGGAGTAAACCTCTACGCACGGAGAACAGCTGGAAATTGTTTTTTATCAACAAGATGTATAATCTTTTATAACTATATATAATTTAAAGGGTTTTTATCCATGTATTTTGGTGGCTCCGGCATTTTAACCTAGCAATTTTAAACCTGATGATGGACTGTTTAGTCCGAAAACGTTTGTTTTTTTGATGTAGCCCTTTTAAGGGTTTTTTTAAATAAATATACCCACTTACGAAGACTAACCTCTTTTTTTGTGATACGTGATATACAGCCAGCTACAGGAATTGTTTTCCTTGTGGATTTATAAAGTACTATATTAGAATACCGCTGAATAGTTTTTTTTTATACCTACTCTAATTAATAGAACAACTACACTACTATGAAAAAATATGATACATAATCATTGAATATGAAAAATAACATTCATTGAAAAATATCATTCATGGGGATATACGTTTATAATTCAATTATTTAACGTAAATATAATATTTAACATTTTTTTTGGGGTCCCAGAATTGACATCCTTAGCAAAATTCTGCTTGTTCGCCTCGTTGTTTTAGAGATCAAATATCTGACGACTGAACACGTAGATGTATATGTTTTTTCGAAACTATCATTTAGTAAAAGGAGGCGCACGCAGAACAAAGCTTCTTCGGTTTCTCAAAAATTTAAGCTGTGCTTCTCTCTATTTTTCCTCGTAGAACGAGTATATACGATCCTGCAAAATATGTAAAATGATTTCACCTTGTGACTCATTAGTTCAAAATCGTTACATTTGATGCATTCTCGTTTTTTTTGCAACGTTTTGAAGAGGGAACAATTTTCTGTTAGCTGGCCAATTTTGTATTTGTAAAATATGCTATAAGTAGCACATGCTCACACTATTTAAGAGTTTAAGTAGTTCCATATTAATTTAATCTGATTCTAACTGCTTTATTTCTCTTCACTTATTGCATGCATTTTTCCACTTATCATGTTAACATACATATGATCCTTTCCTTGTGTCATTCACCGAAATCGTCTACTGTATGTATGGTCGATCTAGTACGGTTTTCATACTGGAACAGAGCACATATATAATTTTTACACTGTTTGCAGCGTTGTTCCACGTCACCGAATATGTTACTGTTTGATCTCTAAGATAATTTTTTTCTTTTGACTTTCGAGTACATGTTTTTTCTTTCAGTTTTTTTATGGAGATTAAAGTTGCTGTGTTTTTCGATTTCATTATAAGATTTTTCTAGCTATGATTCTTTAGACTGTTTAATTTTTTTCCGAATTTATTTTTGAACTTTCTTCGACATTCTATTAGATCCAGTATTTTTTGGACTATTCACGGTTATTCTTTTTGTTTTATATAATACTGCTTTATTCAGGAGTAATTTCTTATAGTTCATCCAGTTTTGCCGATAGGTTTGTTTTCAATTGGAGTTTCAAGGAATTTATGGTTCTTGTTTATCATTACAATAAAAACATCCAAAATCTGCAATTAACTCTATAAAAAAAAAGTAGAAAGAAAACGGGTACCAGGATAGCAAAGGATTTCCTGGCTGAAAAATGTACGCACATGGTTCAACACAACAACCACAAATCTTTTCAGAGCAGAAGTGTGCAAAATACAGATTGCCATAATGGTCGTAACATACGAAACGGATAGGCACTACAAGAAGAAGAAGAAGGTTATCATTACTCTATTTCTCTGTATCTGTTTTACAGATCTACTACTGGACTCTTCCATGATTACTGCCATTCCGCTACGATTATAACACCTGGAGGTGAGTTTATCCTACTATGTCTAATGATGAGGGATATACCACCACTACAACAATTAAGAAGCATTGAATTCGTAATCTGTCTAGTACAGCTGTCTATATTTCGAAGTTAAGCTGGAGGTCCCATATATACTTAACGATACAAAACATTAATATATGCAGAGTAGTTGCCTACGCTCAAAAGTGAGTAGAACACTTAAATCCGAAGTTTTTATCTCCAGCAAAAGGTTTTCCAATTTGACAAAATCGTTTAGATGTCACATTTAATGTCGCAATTTTAAGATAATTATTAGTTTTGCACCGATAGCTTCTTTGTATCCCTGGTCGATCTCATTGACCATTTGACTTGAAGCCATTCATTCAGTGTATATATTCATTATGATTCTATTAGGGAATTAATGTGGTGGTTTCTTTTTGCCTTGCTGTAGTTTTCAAACTGGCGTGAGATCAGACACGTGGTATATAGTAGGTCTATATACCACGATATATATATATATATATATATAATATATATATATATATATATATATATATATATATATATATATATATATATATATATATATATATATATATATATATATATATATTAAAGATGGTGGTATTCTTGACTGTGGATTTAAATATCAAGTGGTGATTCTTGAGGATGCAGTCAGTCTATTTTGCCCACAAGACAAAGAAAACTCTTTGACTTACTGTCAAGCTTTCGAATTTAATTTAATTATTTTTCAAGACATCTGTTAAAAACAAAGAAATATAAAAATAACTAGTTAAAATTGTTAATTGTCTTACTTACTAGTCGTGAGATTACAGTTATAAATATTGTACTTTATAAAACAAACCATTACAAATATATTCAATTTTTTTTTAAATAACTATATTGTCACTATATATGTCATTGTCATGTTGGTTCGATTAATGGACATATATGAATGAATATACAGTTATTTTACGTGGAAAGCAAAACTAGTAACAATAGTTTTTATTATTATTTATTTAATTGTCGATAAAAAATAAATTAATCCAGTCAGTTTGGCTTAAGCACATATGAATTTTTTAATGTTGGGATGTCGATAGAAAATGAGATTATGATGGTATTTATTGATATGTTAATATGTAACAATAAATGTTACTTAATTTGTCAATATCTGATTTTCTATTTATACATTTTTTATTTTTCTGTATATGTGTCATTTCTAAAAATAACCGCTTCTGTTCATGTTTCTGCCTCTCTAGAATTGAAGCTTGTGAAAAATTAAATGTGTGATTTAGATTGATGGACTGTTCGGCTAATGCACAAGCTTGTGATTTGTTAGTCTTTACAACACATTTGTGAAAAATAATACTGCTATGTAATGTTCGAGAAGTTTCTCCTATATAAACTTTATCACAGTCTGAGCAAGGTATTTGATACACTACTTTAGAACTTTCATTAGTTGTTAAAGGATCTTTAGTTTTAGTGTATAAATGTGCTACGGTTTTAACATTTCTTGTGGTAATTTTTATGTTTTCTATGTTTTTACTTTATAAAACAAACCATTACAAATATATTAAAAAAAAAAAATAATATATTTGTAATGATTTGTTTTATAAAGTACAATATTTATAACTGTAATTTCACGTCTAGTAAGTAAGATAAGATAATTAACAATTTTAACTAGATATTATTATATCTTTGTTTGTTAACAGATGTCTTGGAAAAATAATTAAATTAAATTCGAAAGCTTGACAGTAAGTCAAAGAGTTTTCTTTATCTTGTGGGCCAGACCAAATAGACTGACTGCATCCTCAAGAATCACCACTTGATATATATATTGGTTAAAAAAAAAACAAATGGAGCAGTGGCAGTAGAAATATGATATCTCACGGAAAGGTGACAGACAAAAATTCATAGCAAACCGTGGTTTAACGATATTTCAAATCGGCACTTCGACCAATCCTACTGCACGATCACTACGTTCATAACGTAGTTGAAGCAACTCAGATTTTTACATAAATTTAAGAATAAGGAAAGGGGTTTTTATATAAAATTAAAGCTATTTTTTTAATATATTGATATAAGGTTGCCTAAAAAAAATTGATTGCAAATTAGTGTTAAAACAGTGTCGCGTACCGACACTTGTTTGACAAGTGATAATATGTATATTAGTAAAACTATCTATCAACGCATGCTTTAAAAATTCATACAACTGACACTAGTAATGCACACCAATGGCGTTGCGCGCTAGCTCTCTTTTATTTTATCTTTGATATTTCGCGTTTTTAAAAGTTGGCAACCCTAATTTGCGACCATTTTCTCTTGGGCCCCTATATCATCATATTAAAAATATTATCTTGATTTTGATATAATAATATGCATGTACGTCATGAGCAGCATATTTTATTTAAAAAAAAAATAACGAAATTTCTGTTCAAAAATGAAATTGAATAAAAACTATTTGCGGCCACTTGTTCACTGCCTATAAATGTATCTAAAAAGGCGAGTGAGTTTAATTAACTACGTTATGAACGTAGTAATATATCAAAGGAATCTATAAGATCTTAAACAGACCAAGTAATAAACATTGTTTATAACCAGCTCATAAAAATAAAGTAGGGATGGCCACTTCTCAAAACTGCACTTACGGGGAGTTGTAAACTTTAGATGCAAATCAAATGTTATCTACATATT